AAGGGTTAAGGGATTGCCAAAGTTCCTTTCAAGACCAGACAAGTAGCCCCATACTCCAAAGTTCTGCAGAATCTCCAGCCCACAAATGTCTGGTACATCAGAGAGCAGCTAAGTAATGAAGCAAGCACTGTTTTCAAAGTCTCAAGCCAGCGGAGCAAGAGCTGTGCTCTCTGAACTCCTTAGGCCGGCGCCGCGGCTCACTAGGCTAACCCTCCACCTTGCGGCACCAGCACACCGGGTTCTAGTCCCGGTCAGGGCACCGGATTCTGTCCCGGTTGCCCCTCTTCCAGGCCAGCTCTCTGCTGTGGCCAGGGAGTGCAGTGGAGGATGGCCCAAGTGCTTGGGCCCTGCACCCCATGGGAGAAGCACCTGGCTCCTGCCATCGGATCAGCGCGGTGCGCCGGCCGCAGATTGGAGGGTGAACCAATGGCAAAGGAAGACCTTTCTCTCTGTCTCTCTCTCTCACTGTCCACACTGCCTGTCAAAAAACAAACACACAAACAAACAAACAAAACAACAACAACAACAACAAAAACGCTATGCTCTCTGAACTCCTGAGAGTAAAAGGAGAGCAAGAGAAAGGGTTCTTCTTAAAGACCAAGTAGGTAATGAACGTCACTAATTTCTGGGATTACTCTGGTTCTAAGCACACAATGTCTCCCATCCTGGGAAACTCTGCATCTTGTGCACCCTGGACTGTTGGAAAGCTTCAAGATTTAATGGGGCCAGTGCTGTGGCACAGTGGGTAAAACCGCCCTCTGTAGTGCCAGCATCCCATACGGGTGCCAGTTCGAGTTCCGGCTGCTCCACTTCTGATCCAGCTCTCTGCTGTGGCCTGGGAAAGCAGTGGAAGATGGTCCATGTCCTTGGGCCCCTGAACCCATGTGGGAGACCTGGAAGAAGCTCCTGGCTCCTGCCTCCTGGCTTTGGATAGGCACAGCTCTGGCCATTGCAGCCATTTGGGGAATGAACCAATGGAGGGAAGACTTCTCTCTCTCTCTTAGCCTCTGCCTCTCTGTAACTCTGCCTTTCAAATAAATCAATCAATCTTTAAAAATAAAGATTTGATGAAGTTCTGACAGAAGTTAATTCATTGGAAAAGAGCACCTATATGATTTTACACACCATGTGTCTGTAATACAAGTAGAAAAGGTATGGGGATGAAATGCTCTGTGAGAAGCCACCCGCATGCAGGCAGTCCTGCCCAGTTTGTCCATATTCTCAGTGGTTTATTTCACAGCACTTAATCTGACAACTTGATCCCTACAAGGAAATAATTAACCTTTATGAGGCCTTTTTTTTAAAGTTTTATTTATTTATTTGAAAGGCAGAGTTACAGTGAGGCAGAGGCAGAAAGAGGGAGAGACAGACAGACAGACAGTCTTCCATCCACCGGTTCACTCCCCAAATGGCTGCAATGGCCAGCGCTGGGCTGATCGGAAGCCAGGAGCCATATAGGAGTTTCTTCCAGGTCTCCCTTGTGGGTGCAGGGGCCCAAGCACTTGGGCCACCTTCCACTGCTTTTCCAGGTACATTAGCAGGGAGCTGGATTGGAAGTGGAGCAGCCAGGACTTGAACCGGTGCTCATATGGGATGCCAGCCCTGCAGGCGGCAGCTTAACCCAATACGACACAACGCCAGTCCCAGACAGGGCTGTTTTTGAAAACCTAAACCTTAAAGAGATCCCAAACATCCCGCAAGCCAAGAAAGGAGAAAGTCTCCAAAAGGAGTTGCTGAACATTTTCAAGGAGGGGAGGTCAGGAGAAGAGAGGGCGAGGTGGCCTCCGAGACACTAAGGCTCAGGCACAATGGGGATGGAAGCCAGATTCTCGGGCCCAAGGAGGAAGTCAGCAGGGAGGAAGCAGACCAGGTAGCCACCATTTATGTGAGGTCTTTGACAGGGAAAGGGGAAAGGCCATGGGGGAGTAGCCAGGGCACCAGGAAGGCCGAGAGAGAAATCGGTCAATGACCATCATGAAGACAGGGAAAAGAAAGCAGGGATGAAAGCTTCCACGGAGCTTGCTGTTAGGCATAGCAAGGGGTCAGCCAAAGGCACCCCTGCCCGCCTCCCTTCAGACGGTTTCCCAGGTACTTCCATGGAACACTGGCGGGTCCTGAGTCCTCCATGCACCTCGCCATGGATTTCAAGGTCTAGCTTAAGACACAGCTGCTTCTTGCGTACTATCTCACTGCCCTAAAATGCTCCCTTTCCACAAAGAAAGCGTGGACTTGGGGGAAAGCAGGGGTGCCCACAAGGTTATGGTAACCACCAGGCAGCAGCTCACACGGAAGCAGCCCAAGAGAGATGGGATACATTAAAAGGCATATACTGCAGAAGTTCAGAAAGTTAACAGATTAGGCTCATGGCACTGGATGGACACCCATGGCAAGAAAACTTCTCATCACTCAAGTTCCTCTTCTCTAAACTGAGCTGTTTCCTTGATTTAAAGAGAAACAACTCTACAGGACCTGGGGCCTGGTACAGAGGGAGGCCTGCACACGGCCTAGGCCTAAATATTTGAATGTGCTATATAGCAGTTAATGAATGTGGCACACCTGCTTCTCTTCTCTACTCCAGCAAGCACAGTGAGGAGCCCTACAGGCACACACCTCGGGTCAAGCTGGGCATGGGCCAAGGCCATATTCTGGGCCTAGGGATGCAATGTGAATCACTCCTTTTGAATCACCATCTTCCCCAGCTTGATCCGAAGCTGTTTGCCCCAGGAATTCAAAGTCCTTCATACCAGCTTGGTACTAGCAAGTGGAGGGCACGCCCTTGGGCTATGGCATGCAAGGGCAGAGCCTGAGAGCCTGGGCAGGGGTCTTTGCCTGGGTAGAAGAGCTATATGAACACAATTTCTTTTCCTGGAGCTTTATTTTTTTAAAAATATTTATTTCAAAAGCAGTTACAGACCCGGGGTGGGGGCAGGCAAGGAGAGAAACTTTCATGCATTGGTTCACTCCCCAAATGGCCTCAACAGCTATGGCTGGGCCAGGCTGAAGCCAGGAGCCTGGAACTCCATCTGGGTCTCCTACAAGGGTGCAGGAGCCCAAGCACTTGGACCATCCTCTGCTGCCTTCCCAGGTGCATTAGCAGGGAGCTGGATCAGGAGTGGAGTAGTTATATGGGATGCTGGTGTTGCAGGCTGTGGCTTAACCCACTGTGTCACAAGGCCAGCCCCATGCAGTTTTATTTTATTTCTGAGGCTTTCTGATTTCACTGTCTAGTTTTCAGCAAAATGTCTTCCAAAGAATCTGACAAGGCTTCCTGCAATATTAACCGTATCAGTGGTCCCTTCTGCGAGAGGCCGAGGGGCTTTGAAACAATTGTTTCTGCTAAGCTAATTCCCAGTATGGGGGCTCCAGTGAGGCCTGAGAGTTCTTAGTCGAGGGGTGTTCTTGGGTGTTACCAGGTTCTCTTTACTGGAAAAAGAAAATTCTGGGCTACCAAATAACAAGGGAAGAGTACAATCTGCAACAGACATTGAGAATAGCAGGATAATTTTCTAAGGTTTCTGAAGGGTACCAGGTTAGCGTACTACTTAGAGATTATCTGAACCACTTATCTGAACCTATTTAAGGTAAGATAGGGAGCTGTGCCTTCTCTGGTCCGCTTTGCAGGGCCGACGCTCAGGTTTGTGTTAGAGGGATCGAAAGATGGAGGGTTTGGGGTCTGACTCAGCAACATCGTGATGACGATGCATTCTGGGTACAGCCTCGCCTGGGGTGGCAGCACACCCTTCACCTTGCTGGCTGACTGGGAAGTCACTTACCATCTTCGGTCCACTTTTATCCTGTGTGTGTGTAGGTGGCGGGGGGGGGGGGGTCAGCCTGGACGACTTGGAATTTTTTCCCGTAAAATTTTGACCATCAGGGAGAGGCAAAGAGGGCCCTTGAAATATGACTTTTCCAGCAAATTTGTCAGAGTGAACACAGATCAGGTGACCCCGTTAAACCACGCACATTCATCTGCCGTGCCACGGCCTCCGGGGTCCCCGATCAACCTCGTACTGCCCTGGGACCTGACAGCCGGCACCGGGCTAGATTCCTCCGTCTCCGACATTCAGCCGCTGTCTTTGAGGCACCAGTCTTACCCCTAACTCCGCCGCGCACAGGTCCCGAGCGTCCACGTGTAGCGCAGTCAGAGGCGCGTGCCAACCAACCGAGGTCAGCCCCGGGCCCCCGCGAGCCGTCCGCTTCCTTTTTCTCCGACGTGTAGGCAATGGTGAGGTCCTACCACAGCTTTCCGGGCTGCGGCACATTCCGAAGACATTTTTTTTGCTTGGTACAGATCGGATCTCAAAGAAACTTTTCTCACAGCGGGAAAAATAAATGCGACGTGAGCACTGGCCTGAGAGGGCTGCCATTTTCTTGAACCCACAGAGCGGCAGGTACTGAACTCCTGGGCATATAGTGGGGCTGTGGTGAAGATAAATGCGGCACCCCCAGATAAAACCCCACGCGCCCCCCGCACCAGGCCAGCGAGGTGCCCGCGCACCGGCGGCTCTGACACAACACAGGGCCTCGGCGTCCACCACACGAACGCGTGACTGCCTGCTCTGCCCCGCTTTTGTTTACCCGCCCTCCTCCCCCTGAGCCCCCGCAACGACCCCCGGCCCCCCGAAGCCGCCAGACCCAGGACGACGGCGCGTGCGGGGCAAGGGGCAGGCGGGGCGGGAAGTCTGTGGCTCCCACACTTCAGGGAGCAAGAGAAAGACATCCTCAGAGACCCAGGGGCAACAAAGGCGACGCGGACGAACCCGACCCAGGCCGCCCCGCCGCTCCAGGACCCCGCGGCGAGGACAGCCTCGCGCGCCTCCGCGCCCGGCGCGCTCCCGCACCCAGCGAGGCGCCCCCAGCCCCGCAGCCGGCGCTCGTCCGCGGCACCCGCCCCCGGGGCGGTGCCGGGAACACGCGGCGCCTCCGCCGGTCACGTGGGGGGCTGCTCCGCCGGGCGGCGCTGCCGCTTCCCGATCGCGCCCTCCCAGCGCCGGGGACGCGGCGCTCGCGCTCCCGCCCGAGCCCGGGGGAAGCGGAGACAAGGAGGCGCCGCCGCCCCCCTCCTCGCCGCGGCGCCCCGGCCCCGAGCCCGCAGCATGCCCGCCGCGGAGCCGAGCGCCGCCCTCCTCCCGGAGCTCGCGGCGGTGACGACGCTGCCGGCCGCGGGCCCGCGGCTGCGAGGGTAGCGGGACCGGGGAGTCGGGCACCCCCAGGCGCCGCGCGGCGGGCGGAGCGCGAGGAGGAGGAGCAGGCATCCTCCGCGGCGCGGCGCGCCCATGGCCCGCGAGCTAGGAGAATGCGAGCTGCGCTCCCCGCCGGCCGCCGCCTCCCCCAGCGCCGCGTGCTCGGCGCCCCCCAGAGCTGCTCGCGTCGCCGCCGCCGCCCCGCAGCTTCGGGCGCCCGGCCGCAGGCTGCGCTAGGACCCACGGCCGCCGGCCGCCGAGGGGCACTGGGAAGGGAGGAGCGGGCGCCGGCCGGGGCGCAGCGCGGCATGCAGCGGCGGGCTCCTGCGCCCGCGTGAGGCTGTCGGCCCCGCGCCCCGCCATGGCTGGGAAGGACAGTGGCAACCTGAAGACGGTGAGGCTGTGGCGGGACGCCGCCCTGCGCGCCAGGAAGCTGCGGAGCAACCTGCGCCAGCTCACGCTCAGCGCGGCCGGGGGCTGCCCCGGGGCCGGCGCCGACCCGCTCGAGTCCCCCGACGCCCCCCAGCTCGTGCTGCCGGCCAACATCGGGGACATTGAGGTGCTGAACTTGGGGAACAACGGCCTGGAGGAGGTGCCCGAGGGGCTGGGGTCGGCGCTAGGCAGCCTGCGCGTCCTGGTACTGCGCAGGAACCGCTTTGCCCGGCTGCCCCCGGCCGTGGCCGAGCTCGGCCACCACCTCACCGAGCTGGACGTGAGCCACAACCGGCTGGCCGCCCTGGGAGCGGAGGTGGTGAGCGCCCTGCGGGAGCTGCGCAAGCTCAACCTCAGCCACAACCAGCTGCCCGCGCTGCCCGCCCAGCTGGGCTCCCTCGCGCACCTGGAGGAGCTGGACGTCAGCTTTAACCGGCTGGCGCACCTGCCCGACTCGCTGTCTTGCCTCCACCGCCTGCGCACCCTGGACGTGGACCACAACCAGCTCAGCGCCTTCCCCCGGCAGCTGCTGCAGCTGGCAGCACTGGAGGAACTGGACGTGTCCAGCAACCGGCTGCGGGGCCTACCTGAGGATATCAGCGCCCTGAGCGCCCTCAAGATCCTGTGGCTGAGCGGCGCCGAGCTGGGCACCTTGCCCAGCGGCTTCTGCGAGCTGGCCAGTTTGGAGAGCCTCATGCTGGACAGCAACGGGCTGCAGGCTCTGCCCGCCCAGTTCAGCCGGCTGCAACGGCTCAAAATGCTTAACCTCTCCTCCAACCTCTTTGAGGAGTTCCCTGCCGCGCTGCTGCCTCTGGCTGGCCTGGAGGAGCTCTACCTGAGCCGCAACCAGCTCACCTCGGTGCCATCGCTGATCTCGGGCCTGAGCCGGCTGCTCACTCTGTGGCTGGATAACAACCGCATCCGCTACCTGCCCGACTCCATCGTGGAGCTGACCGGCCTGGAGGAGCTGGTGCTGCAGGGCAATCAGATCGCTGTGCTGCCGGACAACTTTGGCCAGCTCTCCAGGGTGGGCCTGTGGAAGATCAAGGACAACCCCCTGATCCAGCCCCCCTACGAGGTCTGCATGAAGGGGATCCCCTACATCGCAGCCTACCAGAAGGAGCTGGCGCATTCTCAGCCAGCGGTGCAGCCCCGCCTCAAACTGCTCCTGCTGGGCCACAAGGCTGCAGGCAAGACCTTGCTCCGCCATGGCCTCACGGAGGAGCGAGTGGAGGGCGGCCAGGGAGGAGGGGACCAGGAGAAGAGCTGCCCACCTGCGCCTCCGCAGGGGAGCAAGGGCATCGAAGTGACCAGCTGGACGGCCGATGCTTCCCGGGGCCTGCGCTTCATCGTGTATGACTTGGCCGGGGACGAAAGTTACGAGGTGATCCAGCCCTTCTTCCTCTCCCCGGGGGCCCTGTACGTGCTGGTGGTCAACTTGGCCACCTATGAGCCACGCCGCTTTCCCAGCACCGTGGGCTCCTTCTTGCACCGGGTGGGGGCGCGGGTGCCTCACGCCGTGGTGTGCATCGTGGGCACGCACGCAGACCTGTGCGGGGAGCGGGAACTGGAGGAGAAGTGCCTGGACATCCACCGGCAGATCGCCCTGCAGGAGAAGCGCGATGCTGAGGGGCTGAGCCGTCTGGCCCGGGTGGTGGACGAGGCCCTGGCCCGGGACTTCGAGCTGCGTTCGGCCAGCCCCCACGCGGCCTACTATGGCGTGTCCGACAAGAACCTGCGGCGGCGCAAGGCCCATTTCCAGTACCTGCTCAACCACCGGCTGCAGATCCTTTCCCCGGTGCTGCCGGTGAGCTGCAGGGACCCCCGCCAGTTGCAGCGCCTCCGGGACAAGCTGCTCTCGGTAGCCGAGCACCGAGAAATCTTCCCCAACCTGCATCGCGTCCTGCCTCGGTCCTGGCAGGTGCTGGAGGAGCTGCACTTCCAGCCACCGCAGGCGCAACGACTTTGGCTGAGCTGGTGGGACTCGGCGCGCCTGGGCTTGCAGGCGGGGCTGACCGAGGACCGGCTGCAGAGCGCCCTCTCCTACCTGCACGAGAGTGGCAAGCTGCTCTACTTTGAAGACAGCCCAGCCCTCAAGGAGCACGTCTTCCACAACCTCACCCGCCTCATCGACATCCTCAATGTCTTCTTCCAGAGGGACGCTTCCCTGCTGTTGCACAAACTGCTGCTGGGCGCCAGTGGAGAGGGCGAGGGCGAGGCAGATGGCTCCCCCGCCGGGGCGCTGCCCGCGCCCGGCCAGGACCTGCTGCGGGCCACCCAGCTCCATCATTACGTGGAGGGCTTCCTGCTGCACGGGCTCCTGCCAGCCCACGTCATTCGGTTGCTGCTCAAGCCTCATGTCCAGGCCCAGCAGGATTTGCAGCTGCTGCTGGAGTTGCTGGAGAAGATGGGCCTCTGTTACTGCCTCAATAAACCCAAGGGGAAGCCTCTGAATGGGTCCACGGCCTGGTACAAGTTCCCCTGCTACGTGCAGAACGAGGTGCCCCACGCAGAGGCCTGGATCAATGGGACCAACCTAGCCGGGCAGTCTTTTGTGGCGGAGCAGCTGCAGATTGAATATAGTTTCCCTTTTACCTTTCCACCGGGCTTGTTTGCGCGCTACAGCGTGCAGATCAACAGCCATGTGGTGCACAGGTCGGACGGCAAATTTCAGATCTTTGCGTACAGAGGGAAAGTGCCCGTGGTGGTGAGTTACAGACCTGCCAAGGGGGTCCTGCAGCCAGACACCCTGTCCATTGCCAGCCATGCCTCGTTGCCCAACATATGGACCGCATGGCAAGCCATAACCCCGTTGGTGGAAGAGCTCAACGTACTGCTGCAGGAGTGGCCCGGTCTGCACTACACCGTGCACATCCTCTGTTCTAAGTGCCTTAAGAGAGGGTCGCCCAATCCGCACGCTTTCCCAGGTAAGAGGAGATGGTTGCATTCTTAAGACTGCTGATACTTGTTTCTCCTTTGGCTGAGTGTTGGCTTAACCCCACAGGTTTTCCAGGGACACTTTTGCAGGGTGCACAGAGGGGGATTTGGGGACCAGCAGAAGGCGGGCAGTCCTCGAGCAATGTAAAATGCTCGCTCACAAGTTGTCACAGTAGACTCAGGCCCCCGAAGCAGGTTGCAGCCCCAGCATCCCCCGTGACCCTTCTGGTTTGAGTCCCTGTCGCGCGGAGGGAGATTTCAGGTCGGTGCCAAGGAGCTGGGTGGTGTCTGGCCTTAAGAAAGCCCTTTGCTCAGGCTCCATTGAGATGCATGTCAGACGCCTGGGAGACAGAGGGAAGGCTGGGTTTTAAGTGCCTATTGTCATGTTCTTTTGTTTAAATTCAGTAGTGCTAGCGTCCAGCAAAAGTTATCTTAGCTCCTTTTTATTAAGAAATTCCAGAGAAGACTGTGGTGTGATTAGGGTGGGTGACGGATGAGTAATGACAAAAACGCATGACTAAATCCTGAGCTCGCCGTCCCGCCCGCACACTCCAGCAGGAGAGAGCCAGCCGTCACCCAGGGCTCCGAGGGGGGACTTTCCGTGGGCTTTTCCTGGCCATTTGGAGCTTTACGTGCAACTCGAGGTGGGGTTTTTTGGTGGTGGGAGTGCAGAGCTCTGACAGTGTTTTAGAAGACAAGGAAAGGATGCAAAACCGACAAGACTTCTGGCTTCTGGACCGTGTTTTCCAATGGCCTCATTTTGTTCCTTTTCATAACCCTTGGAAGATGAATGGGAGAATCCCCAGGACTAGTTGCCTGTTTTTTTTTTTTTCCCCAAGACTTACTTTTTTTTTTTTTTTTTTTTTTAGAACAATTTCAGGTTTACAGCCAAACTGAGCAGAAGGCACAGGGGGTTTTCCATGTAGCCCCCTGCCCCTGTACCCCTCCCCCCGAGGCGTGGCCTCCTGCTCTGTCAACATCTCCCACTGCGTGGGTCACTGGTTCCCACTGATGAAGCTGCAGTGACGCATCATTATCACCCCGAGTGCTGAGTTTACGTTAGGGTTCATTGTCGGCGTTGCGCGTCCCGTGGGTTTGGACAAATATACAGTGATAGGAAGCCGGCATTATAGTCTCAGGAGATTAGTTTTACTGCCCTAAACACCTCTGTACCCCACTGGTTCAAACCTCCTCCTCCACGCCTGGCAACCACTGAGCTGCTTTCTCTGTAGTTTTGCCTTTTCCTTGTCTGGGATGTTTTTCCAGCCTGGTTAATTGGTATCCAGAGAGTCTTTAGCTGGGAATGTGCCTGTTTCCTTATCCCTTGTAGTTCTTTAAACAACGGATTTTTGTGGAGCAGCTTTGGTTAACAGCATTACAGGCGTTGCAATGGTGTCACTGCTGGGTTCTCACCTCGGCCCCCTCCCCAGGGTGCACGGCGGGCTGCCCAATGGAAGAACACTTGCCACTCGGATCTTTGTCCCGGCCTGAGTGCCAACCAGAATGCAGCTCCCAACGGTATCAGGAAGGAATCGGATGCCCCTGTTTGCAAAGAGAACATCTTTCCGTTGCTCCAGATCTAGGCTGCAGTTAGTTCCTCAGTGTGAAGAAAGCCACCATATTCAGTTACCGGTCAGCTGAGCCTTCCACCCTGGTGCTGGCCGGTGTCTTGTCAGGCAGGGTGGGACTGGGTAGGTTCTGTGTATTTGCCTTTGTCTTTTATTCACGGGAGCAAAAGTGCTTTTCTTGTGTCCGCGAGAGGAATAAAGTGGTGGGGGATTACATATTCGCAGACTCGCTTGGTGACTAAGGGCAGTTCTTCCTCCGGAGAGGGAGTCTTGCTAACACCCAGGCTATCTGCAACAAAGGGAATGACGTATGGTATCGAACAAGTAAAGATCCGCGCAGAGGAATTCCAAGAACTTTGAGGAGTAAGCAGTGAGGCTGGAATCTTTTGACTTCCGCTCGTTATTTTTGCTTTTTAGCAGTCGTACATTCCACAGACAAGCTGGGACTGGGATGCAGACACAAGCCCATTCTCTTGCTGCTGGTTGTCTTTCAAAGGAGACACGCCTGGTTTGCAATCCAGGCTGTAAGGAAGAGGTGACTTTTCTTCACTGTGAACACAAAGAATGGTTGGAGAATTGTGACACAGATATTGAGTAGAAATAAGGGATCCGTTGGTTTTATACTGGGCAGACGCTGTTTGCTTTTGTAATATATAGACTATACATTCATGTTTCTGTCTGATCAAAAATGAGTTACCTGTTCTGAGTCGTTTAGAGTTGTGTTTCTTCCAAAAGCAGCAAAGGGCATGGGATACTGGAAAAAAAATGATGGTATCTTTTTCTAAGAAGACAGGGAGAAAGCATGTTTTCCTCTTTTATGTTTCTGTAATAGCCATCATTTGTTATAAGTGTCACTGTTCAGGCTGACATGACAAAAGTGGTCAGATGATGTGGAAACAGAATTATGGTTTTGGGTGGTGTTCGTTACTTGGGGTACACATGAGAAGTAATTGAATTCCTAGATTATTAAAGTATATTCTGAGGCTGGCATTGGGGCAAAGCGGGTTAAGCTGCTACTTGCAATGCTGGCATCCCATGTGGACACCAGTTCTAGTCTCAGCTATTCTGCTTCAGATCCAGCTCCCTGTTAATATACCTGGAAAAGCAGCAGAAGATGGCCCAGGTGCTTGGGCCCCTGGCTCCCATGTGGGAGACCCAGGTGAAGCTCCTGGTCCTTGGCTTTAGACTGGTCCAGCCCAGGCTGTTGCAGTCATTTGGGGAGTGAACCAGCAGGTGGAAGATCTCCCTCCCTGTCTGGCCCTCCCTCTCTCTAACTCTTTCAAAAAAATAAATAAATCTCTTATACATATTCTGATTCAGCAGAGACTTTTGAATCTGTTATTAGCTGTTTGCCTTTTTAAAAAGTCATTTTGCTTTTTAGGGGCATTAAAAAATTGGTTACTTAGTCTTACATTTTATTAAAGTGTCAGATTCTTTAAATAGTCATAATGTTGTATACAATTTTTAAAAACCTGGATTTTAAAATTTCTAAACTTAGAGACGTTAAAATAAGAGTAAATAGCAAGTCCCTGCTTCCCTTGAGTTTATATAGAAGAAACAAAATTGCATTTATATTTCACAAGTGTTTTGATGTGAAAAGCCTGTCGTGGCCTTGTCCTGTTGAATTTTCTGGCCTGAACTGCACTAATGTAGTTGGAAATGTAATGCTAGATTTACTTCTCTTATTCTAGTTTATGCAAGATAAGTAATGTTTTGGAAAATCCATAGTTAGAAAACTCTCATTTTAAAAGTCCCAGAGACATCACAGGAGATTGTTTGTGAAACTCGGGGCTGTGATGAAGCTCGAGTGTCCCTGTGCCGGTCACCTGATTTCTGCAGGTGCAGGCCCACTGGCTGGGCCTCCCCTCCTTTTGCTCCATTCCTTCTCGTTACTTGGTCCTGTGTTCTTATCCAAGGGCACGATTCCTTTTTTTGTTGTTGTTTTTAAAGTTACTTATTTGGGGCCAGCACTGTGGCGCAGTGGGTTAACGCCCTGGCCTGAAGTGCCAGCATCCCTTATGGGTGCCAGTTCGAGACCTGGCTGCTCCACTTCCAGTCCAACTCTCTGCTATGGCCTGGGAAAGCAGTGGGGGGTGGCCCGAGTCCTAGGGCCTGCGTACCCGCATGGGAGACCCTGAGGAATAGAAATAAGGGATCTGTTGCTTTTATACTAGGTAGACTCTGTGTTTGCTTTTGTAATATATAGACTGTACATACATTCATGTTTCTGTCTGATCAAAGGAAGCTCCTGAGGAAGCTCCTGGCTCCTGGTTTCGGATTGGCGCAGCTCCGGCAGTTGTAGCCAGTTGGGGAGTGAACCATTGGATGGGGGAACTTTCTCTCTCTGCCTCTCCTCTCGTAACTCTGACTTTCAAACAAATAAATAAATCTTTTAAAAAATTTACTTACTTATTTGAAAGGCAGAGTTACAGAGAGGGGGAGAGAGAGAGAGAGAAAGAGAGAGAATCTTCTATCTGCTGGTTCACACCCCCAAATGGCTGCAGTGGCCAGGGCCCGGGCTGGGTCAGGTCCAGGGCTGGGTCAGGTCCAAGTCAGAAGCCAAGAGCTTCATCTGGGTCTCCCATATGGGTGCAGGGGCCCAAGCACTTGGGCCATCTTCCGGTGCTTTCCCAGGTGTGCATTAGCAGGGAGCTGGATGGGAAGTGGAGCAGCCAGGCCTTGAACTGGTGCACCTATGGGATGCTGGTGCTGTGGGCGGTAGCATAGCCTGCTGTGCCACAGCGCTGGCCCCTGGGCACACTTTTTGGAGTAGGATATTATGTTTTTATTCAGTTCCTCCAATATGACATCTAGTTCTTCTGAGGCTAGGCCATGGTGGCCACAACTCAGGCCTGCAGCAAGCCTACAAGCACTTTGATACTCTCTACAGCAGCGGAATGAATGCAATGTGTTTTTCAGTTGGAAGAGTCTTAGTGAGTTGAACTTGCATTGCATATGATTTGTCACTAAATGTTCCACTCTCTCAAGTTTTAAGGGTAAATCACACATTTTTTAAATGCGTGTGAGAGAGAGGGAGGGAGATTGCCCATTTGCTGGTTCACTCTCCAAATGCCTGTAACAGCTGGAACTGGGCTGGTCTCCTATGGGGGTGGCAGGAACGCATTCACCTCCGGCATCACTGCCGCCTCCTAGGGTCCACATTAGCAGGCCTCAGGGCCTGAGTTGGGGATTAAACCCAGGCACGCCGATGCGGGGATTATAGATGCCTTAACTGCTAGGGTAACTTTTAAGAATATTGAGGAGAAAACCCCAGATCAGTAGACAGAAGTAGTTACATGGCTTTCTTTAGCTTCAATTCCTTCCTCCATCGGCACTCCCACCGTGTGCTCTGCACCTCATTTCCAGGCCCCGCTGTGCACGTCTCAGAGGAGGCTGGGGCCGCTGGCCTTGTTCTGTGAGTG